CGATACGGAGAATACTGACGAAGGAAGGCGATTTACTCGACTCCCGAATGTGCTAGGTGCTTGCCGTCTGGTTTCTGATCCTTTCAGCAACTCTTCCCCGGAGATCTGGACACCCAAGCCCAAAGCCCAAAACCCTACGCTAAACCCTAAACCAAAGCCTAAACCTTAAATCCCTACCCCCCCCCCCGCAATATCGCAGGAGCAGGGATGCCACTGTCCTCCTCGACCTCCTTCTCAGCCTGAACCATGTGCTTTGGGGGCCCTCACGGCGTAAAAGGGGCTGGTTCTTCGTAGAGAATGAGGGAATGAGGTGCCCAACAGAATCCCTTAAAGGGTAATTATATACAGGGCCCTACTTAAGGATGATCTCCAAAACCAAGCAACAGCTAGCTCCCGGATTCCAAGCCCAAAGCTCTCCCCCCTCCCACAAGAGAAGTGGCCTGCCCTGCGATCTGTTGGGGGTGTTGGGATACTTGGGGCAATTTTAGGTGCTTTGCGCTTCTGGTGCTTTGTTGGGCTTTCTAGGCGTTGTTTGGGCTTTGGCTTGGGTTCAGGCTTTAGGGGGCATTTCCCTACTTCGAGTAGACCCTGGAAAAAAGCATATACTTTTCAGGCAAAAGTAGCTAGAAAAGGAACCCAGAAGCAAAACAAGCATTAAAGTATAGTACTCCAAAACCCAGATTTTGTTCCAACATGACATCGCTGGCCAGGCACCTCAAAGGATGTGGGCCAAAGCGGATCTCTCCGCAAAGGGCCTGAGTGGCTTCAAGAGACACTCCTTAAACCCCTTCAAGTGCCTAAGTCCTAAGCCAAGCCTAAACCCCAAACCCTAAGGGTTTAAGGGTTTAAGGGTTTAAGGGTTTAAGGGTTTAAGGGTTTAAGGGTTTAAGGGTTTAAGGGTTTAAGGGTTTAAGGGTTTAAGGGTTTAAGGGTTTAAGGGTTTAAGGGTTTAAGGGTTTAAGGGTTTAAGGGTTTAAGGGTTAAGGGTTAAGGGTTTAGGGTTTAGGGTTAAGGGTTTAAGGGTTAAGGGTTTAGGGGTGTAGGATGGTGTAGGCCTGGCAAAAACCCCAAGCCCAAACCCACCACGCAGCCCTCAGATCCGAAAAGCAGTCACTTGCAAAGCTTAAGCACCCCAAGCTTCCTTTACTTGCCACGCTGCCCACGGACCCCATGTAAGGCGTTGAGGGTTTGGGTTGAGGGTTCAGTTGAGGGTGGACGGTTTCGGCTTTAGGGGTCATGGTTTCGGGGGTTCACACGTCTCCATCGGCATGCAGGAATTCTGCTTGTCATCATGATGTTCTTTGATCCATGCATCTCAACCGCAGCCTCTGTTCATAACTTCCCACATCCATGGCCGTCCCAACGTCTTGGAACACTGAAAAGAGCTGGCCATCCCTCTTGACGAAGAGCAGCATAGCTCTCGAAGGATTGCCCAGTAGTCTGCCAAGCTTTCCGCATTCGTTCCAGTTGAGACGAAGCCACAGACCAGCAGCCCCTCAAGCATCCGAAAACTTTGCTGACCTTGAAGCCGAATAAGCCCCAAACCCACGAAAGCAAGATCCTCTTAGGCCCAAGAAGGAAACAAATAACACGTCCCAAGGGCAAGGGCCTAGTGCCCTAAACCACCAACTAACTACACAGTTACCCTAAACCCTAACCCTAAACCCTAAACCCTAAACCCATCTCCCATCTAAACCCTAAACCCTAAACCCTACACCCTAAACCCAACCCCCAGGTTTAAGGCGCACTTCGGTGGACTTCGAGGGTTTGTATAAGTTCAGGGCCACCGGTATGAACCAAAATCGGGTCCAGGGACCCAGGGACCCAGGGACCCTGAACCCTAAACCCTAAACCCTAAACCCCAAACCCTAAACCCCAAACCCTAAACCCTAAACCCCAAACCCTAAACCCTAAACCCTTCGGGTCAACATCGCAGCCAGGATGCGGAAACTGCAGCCGGAGGCCTAAACCAGGGTGCAAGAAAAATCTACGAGTTGGCCCTGGTTTCAACCCTTAGAAGGACAGCTCCTGAGCCCTTAAGGTTTCGGGTTTAGGGTTTAGGGTTGTTGGGGTTTTGGGCCGTGTAGGAGTGTCACTTGCGAGACCCGCGGCTGAGCAAACTGCAGTGGCGAAGGCAACTTCAGACGACTTCGGGTTTAGGGTTTAGGGTTTAGGGTTTAGGGCTTAGGGTTTAGGGCTTAGGGTTTCGGGTTTAGGGTCTGAGGTTTATAGGGCTTGGGGCAGCTCCGCCCCTGAATCCCAAATCCCAATCCCTTAGCCCCCAAAATCCAAAAAAAAAACCCTGAACCCTGCTCAAACTCGAGGCCCAATGCCTCATTCTCACCACGTCCCCCCTGCTTGTTGATCCCGAAACCCTAAACCCTAAACCCTAAACCCTAAACCCTAAACCCTTGAACCCTAAGCAGCCTCGCCACCGGCAAAGAGAAACTCTGCTCCGCGAGTCGGTCGCAAGAGGCCCTCGGAAAGCTAGGGTTTAGGGTTTAGGGTTTAGGGTTTAGGGTTTAGGGTTTAGGGTTTAGGGTTTAGGGTTTAGGGTTTAGGGTTTAGGGTTTAGGGTTGAGGGTTGAGGGTTGAGGGTTTAGGGTTACGTTTATAACCCTAAGCGCTGTAAACCAGAAAGCCTTGACCTTGTAGAACTTCAACTCTAAACCCTAAACCCCAAACCCCTAAACCGTAAACCCTTAAACCCAAAAATCCTAAACCCCTAAACCCCCAAACCCTAAACCATTATCCCGAATTACTAATTAAACCCTAAACCCTAAACCCTAAACCCTAAATCCTAAACCCTAAATCCTAAACCCTAAACCCTAAACCCTAAACCCTAAACCCACGCCCCAGCTCTGCCCGGGCGCCTGCCAGCCGTGGTCTGCAAGCTCCTCCAGGACGGGTTTCGGTACTTATAGTATATAGGGTTTAGGGCTTAGGGTTATTAGGTATTGGGGTTTGGGGTTTAGGGTTTAGGGTTTAGGGTTTGGGCAACTCTGGTGTGCCGGGTTTAACCCTAAAGCCGCCACCCCACTGTTGGAGGAAGTGGGCGTTAAGTTGGTGCTTACTGGGTTTCGTGTTTAGGGTTTAGGGCTTCAATGCGAAAACATCTAAACCCTGATCCAGGAAGCTTACAACCCGGAGCCCCGAAATGAAAACAAAAAAACACTTTCGGCCGCAAGCTCTCAGAGATTGGCATCAGCATGAAGATGAGTAAGAAATCTTGGTCCGCCACAGCTGCTCTTCTCCACCAACATCCAGAGCGAGAGAGAGAGAGAGAGAGAGAAAGAAACAAAAGGCCTAAGGGGTCCAATGTAGAGTCCCATGAGTTAAGGGTTTAGGGGTCAGAGAACCCTCAGCCCCAAACCCTAAACCCTAAACCCTAAATCCCTAAACCCTAAACCCTAAACCCTAAACCCTAAACCCTAAACCCTAAACCCTAAATCCCTAATCCCTAAACCCTAAACCCTAAACCCCTAAACCCGAAGCCCCAAGAGAGAAGCACACCAGGTGCCTCTCCCCCGGCCGGGAACAAGGAAGCCAGTCGGCCCGGCATGGCTTGGGTTTGGGGTTTGGGGTTTGGGGTTTAGGGTTTAGGGTTTAGTGTTTAGGGTTTAGGGTTTAGGGTTTGGGGATTAGGTTGTAAAGTATCGGACGTTGGGGGTTGTAAAGGGTCCGGGCTTCGGGTTGATACTTAGAGCTTTGAGGGACTCCCTTTTGCTCTTCAGGTAGGATTTTGTTTGCAAGGGCTGTCGGGTTTAGGGTTTTGCCGGGGTTTGGGGGGCTTGGGGTTGAGGGCATTTGTTAAGAACTGGGTTCCCGCCCCCCCTGTTGCCGCAGTGCAGACTCTTCTGAGCCGTCCAGCGTCTTAAAGTTTGTGGCTGCGGGCTTATAGTCTTGCATTTGACAGATCTCAAAGTTAGCTCATGGCTTGGGGTTTAGCATTTATGGAGAAAGGGTTTAGTGTGTATGGGGTGCCCCACCACAGAACCTGCTCCGGTCTTGGTCGGAGATAGGTGCTGTTGACGCTGCCCTATACATGCGCATGTGAAATATTGGCACCATGTAACTCCCAAACAAACTGCTCGTTCTAAGCTCTGGATCAGAAAAGGAAGGTCGCAGGTCATGTTTGCGAACGAACCCAAAACCTTTAAAAAAAAGAAAAAAAAAACGAAAGTCCCTGCAGTGGGGCCATACGCCCTGATACTTCGGGATATCAAGCTCACAGTGTTTAGGTGCCATAGTGTACAGCTTGGGGTCTAGGAGGAGGCTTTCGGGGCATGGTGCTTCCTTGGTAGCCCAGCTACCATCTTCCAATAAGGGCACCCTTTTTGTGGGTAGTTTGCTCAAAAAGGCAACCTTGAACCAAAAAAGGGAAAAGGGCACCACCGGGCTACCAGGGCCATCGTACTTCCGAAGGTATAGACGTCCAATTTACCCCGAGGGCCATCGCCATCTCTGAATGCTGCGCATGCCCATGGTCCCTTTGTGCCGAGAAATCCTCCTTGTAGACCCTAAACCCAAATCCCCAATCCCTAAACCCTAAACCCTACACTGAAAACCCCAAACCCTAAACCCTAAACCTTAAACCCGAAACCCTAAACCCTAAACCCTGTCGAGGTGAGGTGTGTGCTGCTCTGAAGGGGCTGGCTTGACTCTTTGGGGCGTGTCTGCAGAGCATCTTAGGTCAGCACGCCGCTTGTTTCAATTCTTGTGGTTTCTAGGGGTGGTACGGTTTGGGTTTAGGGTTTAGGGTTTAGGGTTTAGGGTTTAGGGTTTAGGGTTTAGGGTTTAGGGTTTAGGGTTTAGGGTTTAGGGTTTAGGGTTTAGGGTTTAGGGTTCAGGGTTCAGGGTTGAGGGTTCAGGGTTCAGGGTTCAGGGTTCAGGGTTTAGGGTTTAGGGTTTAGGTTTAGGGTTTAGGGTATAGGGTATAGGGTTTCGGGTTTGGGGTTTAGGGGTTTTAGGGCTTTAATCCCAGAATCCCCGAAAAGAGCCTGGCACTCGTTGTTGAAGATCTCAGGCCTTTGTCTGTTCCGGGGCTTGGGGAGTTTAGGGTTTAGGGTCTTGCGTTTTTTTGGTTTTAAAGTGTTAGGGTTCTAGGGTTTTAGGGCTCCAGGGTGTGAGGGTTTAGGGAGGGGAGTTTAGGGTCTAGGTTTGAGGTCGAGCCTGCTAGTGTTTTGGATTGAAAAGTGTTTTGGATTGAACTCAGATGCCAGAAGTGGACTCTAATGAGGCTTCGGGGGAAGTTCGGCCTTCACTCCGACGTAGAGACCACACCCTCATGCCTCAACAGTTGGTTTGAGGGTCCAGGGTTCAGAGTCTCGGTCTTTGGGCGTTGGATTATCCTAAACCCTAAACCCTAAACCCTAAACCCTAAACCCTAAACCCTGAACCCTAAACCCTAAACCGCAGAGAGCTTCCGTAAGGCCTTGTGAGGTGCTGGTGCGCAAAGGCAGCTGCCCAGCTCCTCACCCATCTCCCTAAGTTTAGGTTTTAGGGTTTAGGGTTTAGGGTTTAGGGTTTAGGGTTTAGGGTTTAGGGTTTTCTAGGCTGTGGTGTTACAGAGTGTGGGGTTTACAAAGTTTTGGTTTACAGGGCTGAAGGGTTTACAGCATTACAGGGTTTACAGGGTTGAGGGTTTTGAGTTCAGGCCGATTTGGATCATCCAATCCCGAACTTGACAGCCTAAACGCTGCACTCTTATACAGACCCTAAACCCACCTAACCTTAGTACACCTAAATCCTAAACCCTAAAACCTAAACCCTAAACCCTAAGCCCTAAACCCTAAACCCTAAACCCTAAGCCATGGAGTTGGATTGTTAAGCTCCCTGCGGCCAGTAGTGCGGTGTTCCACACGTGGTTTTGAGTGCCTTTTCTGCCTGCACCTCAGCGAGGGTTTAGGTTTGGGGCTTAGGGTTCCCCCAAACCCTAAACCCTAAATCGTAAACTCCAAACCCTGAACCCTAAACCCTAAACTCCAAACCCTGAACCCTAAACCCTAAGCCCTAAACCCCAGATCCTACAATTACAAAGGGTTTGGGGTTCAGCATTTAGGGTTGCCTCGAAAACTGCATCCCTCAGTGGCAACCAGCTAGAGCCCCAAAGGTTTCCCTAAACCCTAAACCCGACAAACCCCCACAACTGAAATTGCCCAGAGACCTAGGGGAAGATTAGGGTTTAGGGTTCAGCGTTTAAGGCACCCTTCTGCGTGTCATTCTGTCCATGCCAACAAGACCCTGAGGGTTTAGGGTCTAGGGTCTAGGGTCTAGGGTTTAGGGTTTAGGGAACCCCGAGAACAGGAAACGAATCCCGGAAACCATCGGCGAGCCCTACAAGAAACGCCGCAGAAAAGCCAACCACCCCAAAGAAAGCGCTGAAATCATCCCTGTAAACTCTAGAGGCCATATGAACACAAACCCAAAACGATTGGAGTCCCATATCCTAAACCCCAAAACCCAAAAACCCAAAAACAAACCAAAAAAAAAAGAGAACAAACCCAAAAAAACAAAACCAAAAAACTAAAACAACAACAACCCAAAAACCCAAAAACACCACAAAACCCAAAACCACCCAGAAGCCCCGCGTGAAGCCCTTTTAGCTGGCAGCCTCCGCACTCCAGCCAAAGTCGCAGATGCGCACCTGACGGCAGCGAAACCCTAAACCCTAAACCCTAAACCCTAAACCCTAAACCCTAAACCCTAAACCCTAAACCTTAAACCCAAGCCCTAAACCCTAGGGTTTGCGGGTTCCCGAAGATGATAATTAAACCCCCTTTTTCAGGCCCTCCTCGTTCTGAGCTGCTTGGGGTGTTTAGAGGTCGACTGAACCCTGAAAACATAAGCTGCTGGGAGGGTGGGGTTTAGGGTTAAGGGTTAAGGGTTAAGGGTTTAGGGTTTAGGGTTTAGGGCATTTTGCTGCACCGCTCGCAGGCTTCCGAGGAAACTTGCGGCACGCTTCTCGTTGAGAGGCAGCACATAGACCCTCCGAAATGCCAGGACCCTTTATTGAAACGAAGCCAGAGTTTAGCCCTAAACCCTAAACCCTAAACCCTAAACCCTAAACCCTAAACCCTAAACCCTAAACCCTAAACCCTAAACCCTAAACCCTAAACCCTAAACCCTAAACAGTTCAGAGGAGCTTCGAGGTCTTTGGGGGCACTTCGGGCTCAACCCCTCTAGGTTGAGGCTCATCACCCTGAACCCCAACCCCTTAAACCCGAAGCTTAGGTTTTGGGCCGGGAGCTGAATCAACCCTAAACCCTAAACCCTAAACCCTAAACCCTAAACCCTAAACCCTAAACCCTAAACCCTAAACCCTAAACCCTAAACCCTAAACCCTAAACCCTTCGGAGGTCAGAGGTACGTGGCTCATGTACAGGGTGTGGAGGGCGTCTAGGGATACGAATCCCGCCCTTAACCTAAATAGAAGCGAGTGCTTAAGAACTGAGGATGGCTTTGAAGGGCTCTTGAATCCCCTCTAAACCGCTTTGACTTCGTACCCTAAACCCTAAACCCTAAACCCTAAACCCTAAACCCTAAACCGGCTCAGGATTTCAGGAATGTGACAAGGTCACCCAGGCATTCGGAGCAGCCGGAGTCAAATCGAATCTCCGATGCTCCTGGGGTTCCTACTAACCTGGACGGGGTTTAGGGTTTAGGGTTTAGGGTTTAAGATTCAACCCCAAACCCGAAACCCCAAACCTTAAACCCTAAACGCTAAACCCTACCAGGGCTTGGGGATGTAGAGGTCTCAGAGGCCTTCAGATTCAGGGCTACGGAGCGCTTCGCATAGAATACTTGGCTCGGGGGTTTGGAGGGTTTAGGGGTTTAGGGCTTAGGGTTTAGGGTTTGGGGTTTAGGGTTTATAATATTTGCTGGATAACCCCCCGGCTTGGGGTTTAGGGTTTAGGATTTAGGGTTTAGGGTTAGTTTCCCGGAATATTTGCTGTATAACCCCCCTACTATTCTCATAACTGAGGTTTTGGGCTTAGGTTACGTAGTTCCTAGAACCTTCCCAAGACACACAGGGTTCAAAGCCTCCTATCCACGCGACCCTCTTCAAATCAACCAGATCATGGCCAGCATTTAAAGTGTCGAGCTACTCTAAGCCCTAAACCCTGAACTCCAAAACCCTAGCAGGCTATGGGGGTTCGGGTGTAGCCCATCAGGCTCCAGGAAAGCATCGGCTTTGGACATGGAATCCAAACTCAGGGTTGCCCTGCGTTGCACAAACTCAAGGTGTAATGGGTTTAGGGTTTAGGGCTTCTGGTTTAGGGTTGAGAGAAAACATGCGGTTGGGCATCTGTGGACCCACATGAAATCTGAAACTCGAAGCGTGTCGGGCGACCCTCATTTGGACGAAAGGCCATATATGGATAGCCTGGAGTTGGAGCGTTCCGCGCTCGCCCGGCTTGCCAGGGCGCGCATCAAGAACTGAAGCCCTGTCTCCCACGGGTAAGGTCGCCGAGAAAGCGCTCAGTACATAGCCACAAAGCTGCAATCCTAAACCCTAAACCCTAAACCCTAAACCCTAAACCCTAAACCCTAAACCCTAAGCCCTAAACCCATAAACCCTATACCCCAAACCCTAAATCCCTAAACCCCAAAACCCTAAACCCGAAATCATATGTCAACAGCTTTCGGAAAGCCCAGGCTCAACATGATCTAAAGCCTAAAGTCTGAAGGCGGAAGGTATATGGGTTTAGGGTTTAGGGTTGAGGGTGTATGAAAAATTCCTCTACGCAACCTGAAAACCCGAACCAATAGCCTTCTGGCATCGAACTCGTGCTCATCCAGAACTCTCATACCCTAAGCTGCCCGAACGGGTTTAAGGTTTAGGGTTTAGGGTTTAGGGTTAAGGGTTTAGGTTTTAGGGCCTCAATCCACCTTGGGTCTGGATCCCCCCCGCCCTACGCTGCAATCAGCGCCCGCTGCTTTCTTCGGCTCGATGGTCGGTAAGGCCCTACGCCTTACCTGCCCAGCAAACAACCTGAGAGCACCCTTAAAACCTGCAAAGGCGGCGTGGGGTTTTAGGGTTTAGGGTTTGGGTTCTTGTTCATTTCGGGTTTGGTGTGGCGTTTCACGGCTTATAGGTGGCATTGAGATTTTTAGAATGTCAGGTGACCCACGGGAAGCCCAGAATTACACCCTGAACCCTAAACCCTGATCCCTAAACCCGAAAAGGCTGGGTCTCAAAAACAGCCATTTCGGTAGAACCCCTAGACCCAGCATTAACCTAGGAATAAAAGGGTGCCCTTTTTGGTTTTAAGCGGATTATAGGGGAACCCCAACCCTAAAAAAAGGAAATAACGGCCTACTCCGGGTCCCAGCTTATGTGGGCACCTACTGCCCTGGCTTATGTATCCCTAAACCCTAAACCCTAAACCCTAAACCCTAAACCCTAAACCATAGATAAGGGCCTACTCCGGGTCCCAACCCCTAACCCGCAAGGACTCTTAGGGCTGAGGCTTTAGGGCTCAGAAGGACTTGAGAGGGCTGACAGGTGGATTGGGGACTGGAAGGTTGATAACTCTAAACCCTAAACCCTAAACCCTAAACCCTAAACCCTAAACCCTAAACCCTAAACCCTAAACCCTGAGCCCGCAATAAGGCCCTAAGTCGACTCCAGGCCTTAAACTTCCTTGCTCCTTCAGCGGTGTAGGGTTTAGGGTTTAGGGTTTAGGGTTTAGGAAAGTTTAGGGTTTAGGGTTTAGGGTTTAGGGTTTAGGGTTTAGGGTTTAGGGTTTAGGGTTTAGGGTTTTGGGTGCCCTACATTCCCTTTAAGGGCTTATAGGGGCACCTGCAGGCCCAATTCTGTACTTTTAACCGACAAGTCAAGCTCGTGGTGCACAAGTTGTCGGCTAGGCTTGCTGTGCTACGGGGCCCGCTTGGGCCTGCGCGCTCACCGGCCTGAGAGCAAAGCAGTCTAGGGTTCGGGGTTTGGGTTTTAGGAGTTTGGAGTTTGGGGTTTAGGGTTGAGGGTTTAGGGTTTAGGGTTTGGACTTTGGGGTTTGGGGTTTGAGGTTTAGGGTTTAGGGGTGTATAGGGCTTCGGGTCCAAAAATTCTCCCAAAACCCTGCCCCAGGCCTGAAGTCGTCTAAATCCTGAACCCCGAAACCCCGAAACCCGAAAACCCGAAAACCCGAAAACCCGAAAACCCGAAAACCCGAAAACCCACAAAACCCACAAACCCCCAACAAACCCCCCAAACCCCAAAACCCTAAACACCCTACAAACACTAAAATAAAAGCCCTAAAGACCCCAAAAGCCCTTAAAGCAAAAACAACTAAAACAAATCGCTCCGGAAACCCCCGCTCGCACGGGTGTCCGCGCTTGCTGTCTGCGGTGGCGCCATAGGACTCTGCAGCCTGCAATCCGCCACATCAACTCGCTGAGGGTATTGGAAATAGTTAGGGTTGAGGGTTTAGGGCTTAGGGCTTAGGGCTTAGGGTTTGGGGTTTAGGGTTTGGGGTTTACGGTTTACGGTTTAGGGTTTAAGGCTTGTATGGCCCAAAAACTAAAGCTGCTTCTGAATAGGGGATTTAGGGAGTTAGGTAGCATTCCCCACATAAGCTGCATCTGAGCATCTTGCGATCTAATCCCGAGACCCGACCGGTCGGGTCTGGGGTTTAGAGTTTAGGGTTTTGGGGTTTGGGGTTTGGGGTTTAGGGTTTAGGGTTTACGGTTTAGGGCTTAGGGTGAGTTTGAAGGTTCGGGAGGGTCTGAGAGGGTTTAGGGCGTTTAGGGGTTTACGGCGCAAGTCGGGACAATTCCGAAACCCTACAAACCTATAGGCCTCAAGGATACAGGGTTACCAAAGACTCCTTTACCTACAGTTTAGTAGTAACTACCCTTAATTGGTAGGTATAACCCAGAAAACTGTAGGTGAAGAGGGTCCCAGGTACACCCTATAAGACCCCCAGTACCCGCTTCAGGTTGTCGCGCCTCCGGCGCGTTCTCGACGGCTCCGTCCACCTGCGTCGACACCCTGGACCCTAAACCCTAAACCCTAAACCCTAAACCCTAAACCCTGGACCCTTTCCATCCTCAACCCTAAAACCCCCTCAAGGCCGTCATACTCGGAATCTTCAGGATGTACCCCTAAGAGGTTCCCTCAATATACTCCTCGTTTGGCCCTTATATTCAAAAAGAAGATCTTTAAAGCGGGTCCCCAAAGCCAAGGGTGCAACCTTTGGGATTCAATGACGCCCGAAGCAACCCCTAAGGCCCTAAGGTCCTAAACCCTCAACCTCCAAACCTTAAGCCCCCAAAACCCTCAAACCCCTGCCAAATCGCTTGAACCCTACCTAAACCCTTACACTCCTAGGCCAGTAACCCTAAACCCTAAGCCCCAAGCCCTAAGCCCTACACCCTAAACCCTCAACCCTAAGCACTAAGCCCTAAACCCTACCCACACAACCCCCTCAACCCAGGACTCTGCGGCAGCCTGTGGTTCCTCCTTCTGCTTCGCCTGGCAGCACCGGACCCCGAGTTCTGCCCTGCAACGCCTTCCCCCCGCCCTCTAACCCTCATCCTTCCCTCAAGGTTTAGGGTTTAGGGTCTAGGGTTTTCACAGTTCCTGTCGGCAGGATTTCATGTACCCCGCGCTACAAGCGTCACAGTCGTCTCCGCAGTCGTTCG